CACCTGAGTAAAGAGGATTTTCCATACTCATGTCTGAACTAGATTTGGGACTGGTAAGTCTCCACAACTCCATGAACCATTTCCTTGGCAGTTCATGAGTTCTGTGAATTCTGTAGTGAATTAAGGAACCCGAGGATGTGAAGAATACTGAAGGGAGTTGATATCGGGGATTACGAAGTGGCATGTTGTGGGTGTACCACTCGTCTGTCAGTTTGTTGTACTGTGTTACTTTGCCTGTTGCTGTGGTGTTGGAAGCTATGCCACCAATATTTTAAATATATAACAGTAATATAAGAGCAAGGTACACCCATGTTGGAGAGGGTTCTGCTGAGCTTCCAGACTAAGACAGACTAGGAAGAGGGAGAGGCATATTATTTCTGAATGATTAGTCACTGAAAACTTCATGAATAGCAGGGGAACACTGTCAGATAGCACCAGAATATTGAATACTGAAACATGATGAATAGCACCAGAATATTGTCAGATATAGTGCCAGAAGATGAGGCCCTCAAGTTGGAAGGCACTTAAAATGTGACTGGGGAAGAGCTGCTGCCTCTTCAAAGAAGAGTTGACTGTGATGACGGGAATGGAGTAAAGCTTTCAGGACCTTTATTTGCTGATGGGCATAACTCAAAATAAGGAGAAACAGCTGTAAACGTACATTAATAATAGGGGCATGCAATGTATGAAGAATGAATTTAGGAAAATTGGAAGTTTTCAAAAATGAAAAGGAACACATAAAAATTGATATCCTTGATACTAGAGCTGAAATGGACTAGCACTGGCCACTGTGAATCTGACAATCATATGGTTTACTATGCCAGGTGTCACAAATTGAAGAGGAATGGCGCTGCATTCATCATCAAAAAGAACATTTGAAGATCTTATCTTGAAGTATAATACTGCCTGTGATATAATAATATTCATACACCTACAAGAAGACTGGTATTATTCAAATTTATGCACCAAAGACTTAAACCAGTGATGATGAAATTGAAGAACTGTATCAATGTCTTCAGTCTGAATTTAATCAGACATGCAATTGAGATATATTGGTAATCACTGATGACTGGAATACAAAGGTTGGAAACAAAGAAAGAGGATCATTAGTTGGAAAATGGCCTTAGTGATAGAAATGATGTTGAAGATAGCATGACAGAATTTTACAAAACCAATGACTTCTTCACTGCAAATATATATTTTTTTAAACATAAAAGATGACTATAAACATAAACCTCACCAGATGGAACACACAGAAACCAAACTGATTACATTTGTGGAAAGAGACAATGGAAAATCTCCATATCATTTGCCAAAACAAGGCCAGGGACAGACTATGGTATAGACTATCCATTGCTCATATGCAAGTTCAGGCTGAAGCTGAAGAAAATTAAAATAAGTCAATGAGAACCAAAATATGACCTTCAACATATCATACCTGAATTTAGAGGTCATCTCAAGAACAGATTTGATACATTAAACACTAATGATGAAAGACCAGAAGTTTGTGTGAAGATATCAATAACATCATACAGGAAGAAAGCAAAGGTCATTAAGAAGACAATAAAGAAGGAAACGACCAAAATCAATGTCAGAAAAGACTCTGAAACTTGCTCTCTAACACAGAGATGCTAAAGCACATGGAATAAATGAGGCAAAAAACCTGAACAGAAAATTTCAAAGGGCAGTTCAAAAACACAAAGTCAAGTATTATAACAAAATGTACAAAGACCTAGAGTTAGAAAATCTAAAGGTAAGAACACACTCAGTATTTCTCAAGCTGAGGAACTGAAGAAAAAATTTAAGCCTCAACTTGAAATACTGAGGGATTCTAAGGGCAAAATATTAAATGATACAGAAAGCATCAAAAGAAGATGAAAGGAATACAGAGTCATTGTACCAAAAAAAACCAGGTTGATATTCAGTCATTTCAAGAGATAGCATATGATGGTGTCACTGACATTGAAGGAAGGAATACAAGGTACACTGAAAGCACTGGCAAAGAACAAGGCTCTGGGAATTGATGGAATACAAGTTAATGCAGTACTGGAAGCACTCACTTATCTATACCAAGGAATCTGGAAGACAGATCTCTAGTCAACTGATTGGAAAAGATCTGTATTTGTGCCCATTTCAAAGAGAAATGACCCAATGGAATGCAGTAATCATTGGACAACATCATTAACATCATATGCAAATAAAATTTTGCTCAAGAAAATTTAAAAATGACAAGGAACTGCCAGGTGTTCAAATTGGATTCAAACGAAGCTGTGGGATGAGGGATATCACTGCTGACATCAGATGGATCTTGGCTGACAGCAGTGAATAACAGAAAGATGATTACCTATACTTTATTGACTATGACAAGCTATGGACAACACTGCAGAGAATGGGTATCCCAGAACACTTAACTGTGCTCATGAGGAACTTGTACACAGACCAAGAGGCAGTTGTTTGGACAGAAAAAGGGAACACCGAATGGTTTAAAATTATGAAAGATGTGTGCCAGGTTTGTATTCTTTCACCATACTTATTGTATCTGTATGCTGAACAAATAATCCAAGAAGCTGGCTTATATGAAGAAAAACATGGCATCAGGATTGGAGAAAG